AATCTACTACTGTACTTTTTTGATATTGAATAAAGAGAATAATAATAATAATAATAAAAAGTTTTAATCAAATGGAACAAACTGATAGAACCAAACGAGAAAATTATACTAATTAACTCAATCACACCCAAACTCAAATAGAATGAACGAGATAAGTAAGAGCTTGTAAAACGTAGCAGAAGTGATGCCTTTTGATACTTTTACTATTATTCCTTCCGCCTCAAATGCAGAAATTAGCTTCATTTCAGTTAATAAACTTTCAGAGAGCTAATTTTAAAATCTGCAACACAAATTTATTAAATGGTCGCTACTCTTTATCTTTTGGTTGTCCGAAGTAATAAGTTTAAGTTTTCTTCACAGGACGTCATTACGTCATAGTCATATTCATTTTACACCTACTTACTGGATAACATCCCTGTTGTAGCGGTCAGTGGTTCGCCGTTGAACAGAAAAGTGCAGTAAAATTATAACAAAATATACAAAGTACATAACAATATAGAAAAGAAACGATATGTTAAGCAGGCATGACATGCATAACAGAACAGAACTGATTTATTGATAAAAAACACTGGTCATTGGGCGGGAGCAAGGATGTGCAAAAATTCCACGATGATATCGTTGTGTCGAAACGACCTTCAAAAACCGATGGACGTTCGTGTAAAGTATGTAAATAGTACGCCGCCCCATACACAGGTCAAAAATGTCACAATGTCTTGAGCGACGCAAGAGAACCGGCCGCCCACCCCGGGTATCAAAACACGGTCTCCTGCGTCACCCGCGACCAAAACACATTATATAAAAGTTATGAACGCCTCCTGAAAAAAATCTTCAAAAATATGTTAAAAAAAACACATCTCAAAAATACGTTCATCAAAAATATCATTTTTCGTCGACTCATGGAAAAATATAACGCAGATCGCATCTCTTCTGATAAGTTGGGCTGCAGCAACTGACAGCAAAAAAAAATCAAAACCATCGTAGGACGAAAACGATTCCGTCAAAAAGGCACATTGTCCTCGCCAAGCAAAGGTTCTAATGTAATATTATAATAAAAAAGTTGAAATTAAATGTACAAAGAGTACACGTTATGCAAGGTGTGCCGTATAAAACAACTTATTCAATAAAGATTAGATTAGTGCAGACGATCTCCTGAAAGATCTGAGCAACTGAAACAAAGGTGCTCTTTAAATGAAGAAAGAAGCAGCTATCCAGTCGTACCTAGAAGTCGGCGATCCAACTGCAGCTGTAACATATTTTTGTACCTTTCGCGCTAACCATTCATTCTCACCGACACATTTTAAAAACTATTCTAAATTCAACGACTTCCCCGCTTCTAAATAGATACTTACGTCAAGTGGCTTCTTGAGGACTATCCAGCCAGACTCTGGCTGAATTTCAAAATACTCCAGATCTTGAGGGTTTGAACCAGCACTCAGTGAATATATTATTGCGCCGTTATTATCAGCGTCTTCGTCGGACGCGGAAACTCGTAGAATATTTGTACCTATACTTGCGTCTTGTTTAACATTCTCAACGTATTTCTGTAAAAATGAGGAAATAAAAATAACTACCAATACCAATTGTATACCCTGTCGATTTTCAATACAGCTTGAACGTGAACTCGGAATTTGCTAGAGAATTTAAAACATTACGAAATAGAAATTTTCAATTTCAAATAACCTGACAGTTTCATATTTAGAATATATATTAATGACAATATAATTANCCCTCCTCCAACTCATACTAGCGAGGGTTAAACGGTAACGCATCATAATAGTCGATGCTAAGCCTGAAGATCCCCCTACAGCAAGTGTTAAGCGTTCCCAAGCTTAAAGATCCTTTCCACCGAATCATAATAACGAGTGTTAAGCGGTACCATACTTGAAGATCCTCTCCACTGATTAATAATAGCGAGTGCTAAGCGGTACCCGGCTTGAAGATCCCCCCTACCGACTGCAAATAGAGAGTGTCAAGCGCTATATACCTTAAAGATCCCCACTATCGACTCATAATACCCAACGCTAGGCAATACCCACCTTGAGGATTCCCTCCACCGACTCATAATAGCGAGTGTTAGGCAGTGCCAAGCTTGAAGACCCCTCCTCCAACTCATACTAGCGAGGGTTAAACGGTAACGCATCATAATAGTCGATGCTAAGCCTGAAGATCCCCCTACAGCAAGTGTTAAGCGTTCCCAAGCTTAAAGATCCTTTCCACCGAATCATAATAACGAGTGTTAAGCGGTACCATACTTGAAGATCCTCTCCACTGATTAATAATAGCGAGTGCTAAGCGGTACCCGGCTTGAAGATCCCCCCTACCGACTGCAAATAGAGAGTGTCAAGCGCTATATACCTTAAAGATCCCCACTATCGACTCATAATACCCAACGCTAGGCAATACCCACCTTGAGGATTCCCTCCACCGACTCATAATAGCGAGTGTTAGGCAGTGCCAAGCTTGAAGACCCCTCCTCCAACTCATACTAGCGAGGGTTAAACGGTAACGCATCATAATAGTCGATGCTAAGCCTGAAGATCCCCCTACAGCAAGTGTTAAGCGTTCCCAAGCTTAAAGATCCTTTCCACCGAATCATAATAACGAGTGTTAAGCGGTACCATACTTGAAGATCCTCTCCACTGATTAATAATAGCGAGTGCTAAGCGGTACCCGGCTTGAAGATCCCCCCTACCGACTGCAAATAGAGAGTGTCAAGCGCTATATACCTTAAAGATCCCCACTATCGACTCATAATACCCAACGCTAGGCAATACCCACCTTGAGGATTCCCTCCACCGACTCATAATAGCGAGTGTTAGGCAGTGCCAAGCTTGAAGACCCCTCCTCCAACTCATACTAGCGAGGGTTAAACGGTAACGCATCATAATAGTCGATGCTAAGCCTGAAGATCCCCCTACAGCAAGTGTTAAGCGTTCCCAAGCTTAAAGATCCTTTCCACCGAATCATAATAACGAGTGTTAAGCGGTACCATACTTGAAGATCCTCTCCACTGATTAATAATAGCGAGTGCTAAGCGGTACCCGGCTTGAAGATCCCCCCTACCGACTGCAAATAGAGAGTGTCAAGCGCTATATACCTTAAAGATCCCCACTATCGACTCATAATACCCAACGCTAGGCAATACCCACCTTGAGGATTCCCTCCACCGACTCATAATAGCGAGTGTTAGGCAGTGCCAAGCTTGAAGACCCCTCCTCCAACTCATACTAGCGAGGGTTAAACGGTAACGCATCATAATAGTCGATGCTAAGCCTGAAGATCCCCCTACAGCAAGTGTTAAGCGTTCCCAAGCTTGAAGATCCTCTCCACCGACTCACAATAACGAGTGTTAAGCGGTACCGTACTTGAAGATCCTCTCCACTGATTAATAATAGCGAGTGCTAAGCGGTACCCGGCTTGAAGATCCCCCCTACCGACTCCAAATAGAGAGAGTCAAGCGCTATTTACCTTAAAGATCCCCTCTATCGACTCATAATACCCAACGCTAGGCAATACCCACCTTGAGGATTCCCTCCACCGACTCATAATAGCGAGTGCTAGGCGATATCAAGGTTAAAGTTCCACTCCACCGACTCATAATAGTGAGTGTTAAGCGGTACTAAGCTTGGAGATTTCTTCCATCTCATAATAAAGACTGCTAGCAGCTTAACGACATCATTATTATAACGAAAAAGTTGCGAATAAGCTCCGTGTTTTAAAGACATTAAGAACTTCTTTTTAACTTAAAAAAAATGGGCGATTACAGTTAAATAACTTATTGATTTCTAATCATACCTCGGGTCTGTAATTGATAATTAATTTATTGAATGTAACCAATGGGACCATGAAACGCACATTATAATGTCCAGGGCTGTGAAGATTATCAATTACACATCAAAGAACCATTGTTTTAGGGTCAATTTTGTATCATTTAATCAATACGCTGAAATCGCCCGTTCTATCTGTCGCCCTCTATACAATTATTTCACCATTTCTACTATTTTTTTTAATCTTACCTGACGGTCAAATAGCGGTGGATTATCATTCATATCAGTTATTTCGACTGTGAACGAACACACTCCTTCCAATGAAGGTTCTCCTTGATCAGTAGCCTTAACTGTTACTGATACAAATTTTCCGTCGTCTCCTTCACGATCAAACACTTTATTAGTTGAGACATCACCGGTTTCTTCATCTACGGTAAACTTTGTTCCCTTTTGATTTGGTTGTTGCACAATGGAGTACTTGACTTGACCATTAACACCTTTATCCTCGTCTGTAGCATGGACTTTAATAACTGGTGATCCATTTGGAGCGCCTTCTTCAACCTTTGGATAGTACGTTCCGCAATCTTTAAAAATCGGTTTGTTGTCATTTACATCAGTAATAAACACTACAACAACGGCCGTGCTAGTGTGAATGGTCTTTTCTCCATCTACACAACAAGATCCGTCATCCATTGCAGTAACATTCAGTTCGTATTTGTCTCTTTCCAATGAAATAGATTTCCCGTGTAGACGTATCACACCAGTTATTTCTTCAATGACAAATTGACCAGAACTTGTACCACCTCCAACAAAGCCAAATCGAACATTATCTCCATCTTTATCGGAAGCCACAACAGTTGTCACTAGTGTATTTGGACCAGCGTTTTCATCAACGTTTGGCGTGTATACTTGCTGTGAGAATTTTGGTTCTTCATCATTCTTGTTTTTCGTATACACACGAACTGTTGCTGTGCCTGTCTTAGCAGGTTCACCTTTATCTTTGGCTGTCACGACGAACTCGTAGTATGCATTGTTGTTATCGGCATCCAATTGTTTGTTATTTGAAATGATTCCGCTTGGATCGACACTAAAGTGATCATCCGAAACCGAATATTCGATTTCTGCGTTTGCGCCACTGTCGCTATCCACTGCTTTGACCTTTAAGATGCTTGTACCTGGCGGAATGTCTTCGTCAACGTTGTGAGCTTGGTAGTCTGGTAATTCAAACTTTGGAGCGTTATCATTGACATCCGTGACACGAATTGTGAGCTAGAAATAAAACTATGTATTAAATATTTGTTTGCAGTAGAAGCAATATAGCAACTGTTTGCAAAAGTTTTTGATATGCAACATCTTATTACTCGGGGTATGGAACTAACTTTATGCGACGGAAACATGTAATAGGAAGTATGGAGGAGGAAGAAACGAGTACTATTCTATAAAGTTGACGCTTGAAGAAAGAAAGAGAAAGGAGACACAGTTGTCGACCATCCATTCGTTTTGTTCGTTAGTGAGGTTGGATTGACGATTACAGTTTGTTTTACATACCTCAACTGACGTTGAAAATCCACCTGAATCTTCGGTTGCAGTTACCACAAGTGAGTAAACGTGGGGTTGACGGAGATCTTCAAAATCAAGTTCTTTTGCAAGTTTTACAATTCCAGATGTAGGACCAATGTTGAAAGTCCCTGCTCCTTGACCTTGGGCTTTTAATGTATATCGGATCTCTCTATCAGCGAATGACTTGGCTTTCACTGAAATTATGCTGTAAAAAAAATTTGTTTAATTTTGTAGAAGAATAGGTGATACCTGATAATACAATGTTTGAACGCAGTCAAACATATTTGAAAATCCAAAAATTCAATCAAATATTTGAATGTTAAAATGTTTAGATATTTGAAATCTTGATACCTATATGATGATTTAAACATTCAAATTAAAAAAAAATTAGAACCTTAATAGTATTAGATTTGGTAAAGAAATTGGAATTGAGGAACCGCATGCAATCATTTAAAATAAGGTAATAAGTATGCGATCCACAACCTTACATTTAAATGTTCAGTATCCAGTCAATATTTAAAACTTTGAAACGCTACAATTTGGATATTTGAATATCTGAATAACTAACTTTCAAATACTTATTTGAATTATGGATTTTCAAATTTCAATATTCAGATAATTTAATTACAATTCCGAGATTCGTGTATGTGTGTATCCACCCTAGACAAAAAATTTTCAGTCTTTCTCCAGTCTCCAGAGTTTTTTAGAGTCTTTCAGCGTCTTTGAGAGCGTCTCTCACAATCTTTCACAGTCTCCCAGTTATTGCCGAGGTGTTTTTATGGATCTCTCACAGTCTCTGTATGAGAGACTCAAACGATAAAATTCTTAATTCAGAGATTCGAGTCTTTCACAGAGAGTCTGATTGAATAAAACTGAAAATTGAGACTCGAGTCTCACGTAGAAAGACTGGAATCTCTGAAATATGTTGAAATTTTAACCATGTCTATCGAGACACCACTTATTGAAAGATTCGAGTCTCTCGTTCAGAGACTGGATACGAAATGAGGATCTCTCTATGAGCGACTCGAGTCTCTCGTTCAGAAACGTTAAACAGTTTTTTTTTGACAGTCTCTCTCAGCGCCACCAGACTCGATGAGAGACGGAGACTAGAGTCTCGCTTTCAGAGACTCTGGGAGACTGAACATTTTTATCTCGGGCATTTTACACTTTCATGATTTTTATAACCAATTTAATTTGAAGTAAACATACTAACGTTAGAACTAGTTTAAATCGCAAAATTATCACTACCTAATATGTGTCCGTTCGCCAACTACCTAATTTACTAGCTTGTAAGCAAAAATATATTCATCGCATTCTCTGTAAAAACACTACCTAGACTATCGAACAGCCAATATCTAATATATAATGAATTTTCTTATTCAAATGAGATTTAAGTTTTTATAAACCGACTTGCCGATTTACCACCGTATACGAAGAAGATTAAGTTATTGAAGTTCTAAATCGCGTTTTCCGCCCCGGAAATTAACTTTCTATGACTGACGTTCTGCAATATTTGAAAAAGCTTCCAATATAACTGTATGCCTGGTTACACATATTTAAAACGCTAAAGGTAATTTGCTCCTTTTAATTTTATGTCATAACTCAAAATCATGTCATTGGTATAAAAGCCATTTTTAANAAGAAAACAGTTTGCAAAATTCATTCGGTAGCTGATGTCTATTTTCTTCCTTATATTTCATTAAATTGAAAAGAATGATGTACATTCTTTAAAGAAGAGTGCGAAACGATTGGTTATACGGCTCTTGCTTTCGTATACATGCATTCGCGAATGTGTTTTAAGTGGTTGACGGAAACGAGCATTTTTCGATTGTACGTGAATGCAATATAAGATAAAAAGTACACGGTAGATGTGTCTACATGTGCAAAAAACACAAAATCATAAAAATATTCACAGTGACACCGTCTACAGGAATGTTTCGATCAAAATCATTAAATAAGATAAATATAGTCAGTCAGTAGGTACTTATTTGCATACAGGTAAGGCAAAATGCTTAATTTGATGAACATATGGAATATATTTTTTCAATTTCCCTAGATCACATCATATTTTTCAAAAAAGATGATGCCACCCTTTGATTATTACCTGTTATAGGATACGTACATGTATGTTCAATTTTCAATTCGGCACTGCTGTATACGTATTACGTAATATTGAATTACGTTCTATTAAAAGCAAAAAAAAGCCCTTTTAAAAGGTAAAATCGTAATTTGGATCCATGTCTCTTGACCTCTAAAGTCATACTGTAACCACCCGTATCCGTACTTATAATAACGTGTCGATGGTTTATTTATAATTACTGAATATTTAATAATTTAATATCCTACACATAATTTCTTCGAAGAATTCAAAAATACATAAAATTAAGAGTACTGATGTAATTTACTAGCGCCCCAAATTCATTTACTTCACACATTATACTTTAGAATTTAAAATTCGTGCCCTTTTCGTGTTGACCTCAGGGGCTACGGCGCAAAGCATTTCAAAGCAATAGTTTTCAAAATACTTATATTCTAGACAAAAACTCTTTAAGACAATGCAAATACCTACAACAATGTGCATGTAGGTACCAACAATAAATAGTTGAATAAATACTTACTCCGAGTCTTTTTTCTGGTTCTCCGGTATTTCAGCCTCGTAGCTAGGCATATAGAATTGCGGGGCTCTTTTTCCTCCGACAATTGAAAGCCTTTCTTCCGCTGTAGATTGATATCTTCGTTCGTCAACCCTTCCATTTTGGTCCTCAGCTTTTACATAAAGCACATATTCCATATCCAACTGAAAAGTGTCTGTGCCGCGAGTTCGAACAACACCTGACCTCTCATCTACTTCAAATCTTCCCCCTAATAATTAGCAAATGCTTAAAACATTTAACTACAGTAATCATGAATTTACATATAAGGATAATACTTCATATTCCATAATTTCGTTATTCTTCTTAAATACTAAAATACTTAAATAATAATAATGCACGCGTAGA